CCCCACTTGTTTTCTTAAGTCCCAACTGTCGACAAATTTGAGGAGATGCCACTGCAGTCACACACACGCTGTCAAGCTTGACGCACACGTGCATTTGGCAGTTCACAGCACTTTGTTCGTTGAAGATGTATGTACATTTTCCATGTAACAGGAATATCACCCATCCGTAAGCATTGCATCACTGCAGTAATGGTTTCTAATTCTGGGTACCAACTTATACTACACTGTATAAATTGTAAAAAGTCCCTGGTCAAACCCCATTTATTTTATTACACAATACTGGCGATTCACTAAAGTGCACCTCCAAGAGTTTACAATGCATTAGCCAATTATAACACATGGAATCTGTCAAGCTTTTCCAAACGCGCATTGGGTTGACAGATTTTGCACCCTGTGATTGGCCAATGTGTTGTAAACTCTTGGAGACACACTATCTTGAAACGGTCGTATGAAGCTACTTTGCAATAAGTGTACCCTTCTTGTTATGTCTGCTAGGAAGTCAGTGATGTTCTGTCTGCTGCATAAACTCCTTTTTGGTTTGTGTTTCTCCTTCTGGACTGTCCTTTTGAAAACTTTTTACAACTTTTTGAAGATTGTCTTGAAAGTTGACTGACCTCGTTGTAAATTTGTTAATGCCTGTTTTCATTCCTATTTCAAATCTTCAATGATACTTTGTTGAATATATATTGTGGAGTTTTAAGCCTGTAGCAGACCTACATTTGAACCTCATGTGTTTAACCATGCACGATAGTTCTGAGTTTCTAGGCTTACTTTATGACTTCCACTTGTTCAGCTCAGAATATGGCTTTGTGTTCCTGCTTCCCAAAATCTAAAGTCTATCCTGACAAGTCAGGGGATTTGTGTACCAAACGAGATAAGCTGTACTAAAACCCATCAGTCTATCTGAGGTATGGTGAAAACAATTGGAAGGTGCTATTTGGTTTGGGTAAAATCTTTTGTGTTAACTCCAATACCCACTTCAAATAGTGCCTACATGTGTCTACCATGCTTCAAAAGAGGCTAATGTCCTATGGCCCCCTTGACCACCTCAACTTGCATTCAAGCCCTTCAAACGGTTCTGACTATGAGAAAGTGCAAACTAAACATTTTGCCCCTCAATGTGGTCGAAGGGCTTGAGTGTTGGATGGGTCAAGGGGGTCATGGGAGTTGAGGGGGTTTCAGAAGAGCCCTAATGAGGCCTATAAGATTGTGTGGAATCTTTTTAATCACATTCTCCTACTTTCTTAGTAAAAGAGAATTGTTTAGTAAGTTATTTCTTTAGTTAGGTAAATTTTCAGTCGAGGTTATAACCTAGAACTCCATGGTTTCAAAGTTCTCGCTTGTGTTGGTTTCAGTTATTGGTTTTTAGTTTTAGTCCTGATGGTTTGGGCTTTTCATATTTACTCTTATTTTTGGTTCAGTTTGAAGTAGTAAATTGCCGTCAGAATTCTTGAGAAATTCTTTTTTGCTGTTTTTGTTTGAAATCTAGAATTGTGGGAGTCCATTTATCCAGTTCCTTGCAACCATTTTGTTTCCTCATTTAGAGTCTTACGTTTGTGAAACACACATATTCCTCCATAGTGAGCAAGTTTTCTGGCTGCAAACGTTTCAAAGTGCCTTTAGATATGTATGTAGAGGCACGTGAGCATTTTCTTGCACCTGTTCAAAGTACTCAGATTTCTACCCACAGACCGAAACCCGAAATGCTCATCCTATTCAGAATTTATTTTTTTACAAGGAGTTTGTAATTGACTGCATACATGTACTGCACTCTATGTGCTGACTTTAGAAAATGATAGACTACTTTCCTCCAATAGCAGCAGTGGCTGCAGTGAAATTTCCAGAATGGTTGAATACCGGTATTAGTCTTTTTGTCCCCAGCAGTAAAAAAGATCCAGTAAAGACCCTTTTGTGCTGTTGAAATCTCTTTTTTTCTCCAATAAATTTCTGGGTTGTGTTTCTTGTGCCAACTTCTGTGCAATGTAATGTGGAGGGCATTCCATCCAAACAGCCCCCATCGGTATCACTCCTTTGCCCAGAGGAGACCAGTGCACCTCATACAATGGATAGTCATCAATTTTGTAGTTGCTTGATGTTAATATTTGCCAGGATGCAGGAGTAGGAACTGCTTTGGAGGTACATGTATTTTTCGCCTTGCAGGGACCTTTTTGCTTTGAAAGGCTTCATTCTGGCCTCTCATTTTGTGAGCAGGTTAATAATTTTTCCTAAAGAAAAGGATAACCATTCTTAGTAGCAAATGTAAAATGTAGTCTTTATTGGAGGCACTATTTTCAAATAGTTTGTTTTGTTTTTCAAGGTAAAAATAACTTCCGTTTTTTAATACATGTAGTTGTACAGTATAATTAGAGCTGATTCCTTGCTTTATTTAAGGGAAGACTTTTTCATGAAGTGCAGTTTGTTGCAAAGTGTCTGATTTTGCAAGCTTTTTCCCCTCATTCAGATACCGTATTCGTCCACGGGTCCTGAGGGATGTCTCAAAGAGGGACCTATCAGTAACCATGCTCGGCCACCGGGTCCAATTCCCCATCGGCATTGCCCCTTCTGCCTTGCATAAATTGGCCTGCAGTGATGGGGAACTGGCAACGGCCAAAGGTATTGTGAGATAGCCTGTGGGGCTTATGTGACTTAGCCTCCAGAATGTGGTAGACATGATTTTCTTTATTCTGCAGGTGCAGGGGATTCACCAGTGTTAATGTTTATGATCACCCATTGTTTGTGATGACCTGTCAGACAATCACTTCACCCATATTGGCTGTGAGGTATTCTAACACACCTCTTGTTGGTTCTTGTCGTGGTTGGTTGAAATACAGTCCTGTGTGGTTCACTGATATTCATGTAGGTTAGTACATGAACTCCGCATCAACTTGTATTGGATACGCACGAAAACATCGCACAGGCATGAATTCTAGAGAATAGTTTCCCGGGCAGTCATTAGTCTTTGCAGTTTTTGACTCGTTAAAGTAAAGGTTACTGAGGCTCAAAACAAAAAGTGACAGGCATATGCGGCCATGGATTACGATAACTCAGTCAAAAACCGTACCATGGAAAGCTCCATGAAGTGATTCTTAAATTTTTGAATTGCTTTTTAGTTAAAAATACAGAATTAAAACACTTAAAACCCTGAAGGAATTGTTTTCCTACAGTAGTTTGAGGAACCTGTGAGTGACTAGAAGAGGGTCCTGGAGGTCCTAGCTGAACCCTCTTCCGGTCAGTCATAGTCCCTAGTGGTAAAAGACGTGTACTAGTGAGCATAGTGCCAGTCCATGTGTGTGAAATATTGCTTATGGGTACAAAATTGGATAATATTTCTTCTCTCAGCTGAAAAGCTATGCCCCATCCATCCATTTAGTCTTTCAATCAGGAATTGGACAAGGAAAAAAAAATTAAAATAATGGACCAAACTTGATGAAATACCCCTCCCTCCTCCCTGGGCTCTCGACAAATTGAACCACAGACTACATAGGAGTTGAATATTGGGAACAAACAAATTTGATCACAGGGCAAGTAGCTTGTAAAAATTACTGGACTGGAACAAATTTTACAATACAGACAAACTAAGGCAGCAAAAGGTGTGACACACACTGTGTCTGCTCACTTATCAAGGAGCCAAGTGTGGTATTTCCCAAAAAAATAGGTCACTGGGAAACAAAGAGTCTGCTGAAGAATGCGCTTCATTTTCTGAGGGAGAATTACGAGCTGGCTTATTAAGCTTAATCATTTTGAATGAAACTTTTGGAATGATTCGTAGATTATTGTTATAAACACACTAGACTGCCCCACTTTGTACTGGTATTGATGCTGTGAGACCATTGTCAAAATCACCGGCTGAAGTCCACTGGTCCAGTGAATATATCAACCCCTGAGTTCATACATGTGCACCCTGTCTTGTATTCCCAACAAGCTGCAACAGCTATGGGAACCATAATGATCCTCAGCACCTATGCTACCAGCAGCATTGAAGAGGTGGCAATGGCAGCACCTGGGGCCCATCTCTGGTTCCAGTTGTACATCTTAACCGACCGCAAACGCACAGAGCAACTCGTACAAAGGGCCGAGAGCGCAGGATACAAGGCCTTAGTTGTCACAGTAGACTATCCCTATGCTGCTAAGAAACTGAGCGAAGAGAGACGTGGAGGCTTCAACCCAAAAGTTAGGTGTGTACTGCTTAGTGGAATAATTGCCTCTCCGAGGTAAATGAGCTGGCCCCATTAGAAGTTACCAGAACAGGCATGTGGACAAAAATCAAGATGTGAGAAATTCTATCTGGCCATCCATAATGTCTCTGTAGCAGCTCAAGTCTTTTACGATCTAGCATTTGGTCACACTTGACCAAAGCCACACTTTTAAACAAAATCAAGAGTTCATGGCAAAACCCAGTATAAAAAAAAGGCATTAAGACTGCATGTCGATCCATGGTAAGTTGAAGTAGATAGCTAATCCCAGCAAAATGCTGCAAAGTTGGGATGAGATTTTGATAAATTTTTCAGATAGAGTTAGAATAATGTCCATGGAAAATTGTCCATTCAGAGATTACATTTTCAACTTTTGGGTTTTTTGGGGGGGTTCAAAGTACATTTACAGCATTTTTTAGGAAGACCTAAGATGTCAGGATATGACTTTGAATTTCTGAGCAGCTTCCCCAACTTTGAGGGAGCTTCCTTCAACTCTCAGCGAAGTACAGGATATCTAGCATCCTACAACTCATCTGAAATCTCTCCTTCCGTTACATGGGCTGATATACAGTGGCTACGGTCTCTGACAAAATTACCAGTTATTGTCAAGGGAATCCTCACAGGTATGTTAATTTATTTGGTCCAATTCTTGGAACTTGTAAACTGAAAATGTGGCTCTGCAAATCATGCATGCTATCAAGTGAAAGTCAGTTGATACCAGTTGCATGCAGCATGATAACATGGCACTTTATAGACAAGGAATCTGTTTGTGCCATTAACTTGAAGCAGAACTTTTTGTTCTCAACAATTTTGGAGTAACAGATACTCCCTGGAAGCAGGCTCAGTCAATTACTTGATTCTGCCTAGCCCTGGGATTTCATTTCTGTAAAAATTGTAGGAGTTGGTTTCAAATGCATGTATCTGTAAATGTGGAGCCTTACCGCAAAAATTAAAGTATTCCACTTTTATGGAACTGGTAAGATGTGTTTCGTAACTTTAATGAATGAATTTGTTTAACAGGATTTATTGTTTGTTAGGGGAGGGTGCTCTTGAAGCAGTGGCCAACGGAGTAGATGGAATCATTGTTTCAAATCACGGTGGAAGACAGTTAGATGGCGTGCCAGCAACTGTAAGTCACAAATACCCAACCTAACAGTGGCTGCTTATACATGTACCAAGTTTGCATGAAGTTCCTTGTTTTGTTTTTATTTCATTCAGTCCTTTTCCCTCTATTTAACACGCACTTCTTGTATTTCTGTCTTAAACTGACAACATTATCATGTATTTCCTGTAGTGAAGAAAAGGATTTCTCAAGAAGCCCCCCGGCACTTTAACTCACATTAAGCCTTAAGAAACTTGTAGAGAGGAGCCGTGGCGAGGAGCAGTTGCAGTTTAAGCCGGGGGAGGAAAACCCCAGATGACTATTCTGGGTAAAATCAGGGACTGACCCAACCCACATGTGAAGGTGAGAAAAGGACCACTATGCCAACCTTATTTCTCATGTAATCCGTACAGATTGATGTTCTGCCGGAGGTGTTGGTGGCAACTCGTGGTTCCAATGTGGAGTTGTATTTGGATGGCGGCATTCGCCAGGGTACCGATGTCCTGAAAGCACTTGCCCTGGGTGCCAGGGCAGTGTTCATTGGCCGACCTGCATGGTGGGGCTTGACCTATAAGGTGTGTTTGTCTGTCTGTTAGTTATCTATTTGTATGCATGACTTTGGTTTGGATTTTAGTGTACAGGGTGTGGGTTTTAAACTCCGGCTCCCTGTTCCTCCTTTTTATGAAGGAGTGCCTAGATTGCTGCTTTTCACTAACTGTCTAATTAGGCACACCTGAGCTTTCTTAACACTGCGGTTGGACAATGTTGGAAGCAGTTTGTCAAAGTCTTAGCGCTCTGAAAGTTTTGTTCGCAACAAGCACTCTCCAACATTACCACAAGTACTTTAAAATTTGATTTCAGTTCCTTCAAATGATACCACACAAAGGCACTTTGACAGTGCTCAGTATCTTGTCATACTTCCTTGAAAATGATCATGCAAAAATTGCAAATGAGAGACATTCACAGCAGTCAGAGATTTCAAGAATGAGTGGCACGAAGGATCCTCCTGCTGTTTGTGATGTGGTCTGTGTATAAGTAGTGTGCAGAGCTGTCTCACACTTCAGGCCAGTATGATTCTTGCAGCACTACAGTGACATGTCAGGGGCAGTGAAAAATGAAGTGATTCGGATGTGGAGCAATTTTTCACAAACTGTAGAAGGATTTACAGTCTTTTTTTTTTCCAGGGTGAGGAAGGAGTTTGCAAAGTCCTTCAGATCCTCAGGGATGAGTTTGACCTAGCATTGGCCTTGTCTGGTATGTAACCAGTCTTACGAAACATTCCATGCACTCTGTTCAGTGTACACGAACCCTCCCATGTGCACAAATTCTCTTATATTCTAGGCTAGAGAGACCATGAGATGGTATAAGGCTTAAAGTGTTATGGACTTTGTGCAGGAACATTTCTGACACTGACTAGCGTCGGTGTACATGTACGATACTTCCCTGATACACAGTTGTTAACCCCTTCTCGGGAGGAATTTCATTCCGAAAGCCGACTCCAAGAATTCCAGCCTCACTTGGCCACGAAGGCCAGCTGCCAAACCGCAGATTCTCAGTTTGTGGCCCAGCGTGCTCTGCTCGCTTTGAATTACACGGTGAAAAGGCTGATTGTTCGGTGGCATGCGGCTCTACTCAAGCTTCCACTTTCCCGTTGCCTCTTTTCAAAGTTGGGACTATTGTGAAGCTGGTGGTTATGATGCAAAATCATTTTTTTCATTTTTGGGCTACACACAAAGACCAATTACCATATACACAAGAGCCAGGGTCTGCCTTCTTTCACCGTGTTCGCTCGAGCGTGGGCCGAGAACAATAGCTGAAAAGCGGGCTGAAGATCTCAATTTTTACAGCGGCTATAGCTGCCTCTCGGTGCAAAAAGGGTTTAAATGTTGAAAGGCGATAAAGTGCAAATATGACAAAGGTACTTGTCTATTTCCCTTCACTGCAACTCGCATTTCCTGGAATGTCACACAGAACCCAGGTAAGGCAAGATGCGCAGGTGAACTAAAGAGAAATATAAACACCTCAAACTTGGACTCACCTGCAGTAATTGACGGTTGATAGGAAAATACATGTAGTCTGTTTTGTTGGATGTCATTTTAGTATTGGTTGGTTTTGCCCTTCACCGGTATACATAAATAAACGCTGTATACTCAATGTTGTCCGATGTCATGTGAAAATATTCATGAGCTTACCAGGGTTGGACTCAACCCCATGAACACCTGCTTACCAGTGTACCACTTGATCATGATCATCAAGCTTGTCAGTGTCAGTGGGCTTAATCGAATCAGATGATGAAGAGCTGGTACCTCACCAGTAGTTGTATCAGATGTTAATTTTGCGTCGGGGAATAAAACAGAAACAGTTCATGTTCTTGTGACAGGTCATCAAAGGTAATCTCTCCGATTTGCTCCTAGGCTGTGCTTCAGTCCGTGACCTTGCCCCCTCCATGGTGGTACCGGGACCTGATGTTGGAGATGCTAGATTGTGAGAGCTAGTGGTTATTGTGGAAAAAAGTCTGGTTTGACAGTAATTGTACCTGTAAAGGAACCAGGTATTAAAACGGGTGTATCCGGCACCTAATCAGGTGCCTTTCAAAATCTGATCGATCTGAGATGATTTTTTTTGTATACCACATTTAGAATTCCAAGTATGATAAAAAGTACTAGTAAACAATCAGGGGTAAAAATAGAATATTTCAAGTTATACGTTTATCAATAATAAACTATAGTTTGGGGCTGACGAAACTGAATGCGTACCCTTTTATAGAATTGCACTATTTGTTCTTGGTTATGTGGTTGTTTCATACACTTCAGGCATACATGTATTTCTGTCAGGCAAAGATGACAGAAAAGTTTCCAGTGTGTCAGTCAACAATTAGACTGAGAGTCAGATACCAGTCCACTTTACTTTTATACCCGATTCCCTTGTTTTTTTCTAAAATTGGCCTTTTTTAAGCAGGTTCTCTCTCACAGTGCATTGGAAACATTTCAGCAGTAATTGGTCACCATTTCCAGTCCCTGGATGCGATACGAGGGGCTCCACCTAAACCTTACATGTAGGTGTCTGTAGTTTCTCGAGATTTTCATTCTGTTCATACTGGAATCTTTAAATGTATAGTTCATCAGCTTTGGTCAGAAAGCAGATTTGTATTCTACACATGTTGAAACCCACATGTAGGGGCAATATAGGTGATGTATTAATTTTTTCATGTTTTTTAAAAACAGTTGAACAAGGAAGCAAATGGTCATGTCTTGATGTTAGTATTGCAATGTACCACTAGGCTTGTGATCTGAATATTTCCATTCATGTTTTCCAGATGCGTATATTCCAATCAGTGCTGTAATTGGCCATAAACTTGTATACAACCGGTCACTGCCTCGTCAAAAGATGAAATGAGCAGTTCCTATGGGCCTACTCAGGTCTTAAATGCAGTCTGGAAAAAATAAACAGAATTGTTTAACTTACATGTATTATGTATGAATATCAGAATGGGATGTAATTTGATTTCAATTATAATAACTATTATATATTTATTGTAATTTGATAATTATTTTTGAGTATCAAAGATTTTTAGTCTAACTTATTTGAAGCAATGCCATAAAAGAATATATACTTATGGGGAAATTCGAAATACATGTATACCAAGCTGAAAGAAACTTGATCTTACATTTAAATGAATTTTTACATTTCTTGCAAAGCAGCGAGCTTTATCGAGGTTCTTCTGCAACTGTGTAAAAATGGTATTATCTTAAATAAAGGAAATAACATACACGAAAGTAAAAAGATATATATGTAAATTGTGATCTTTAATTTTTACAAATGGAATATTTGCTCATAGCTCACTGTACTGAAGGGAAGTGCATGAAGTACACATAAAGAGTTTGGATGCAAATACATGTAGTGATGAGGCCATTTAAACAAACATTGGAAAAACATATCTACCTCAAGTATTATTTTTACTACAATTAATATGGACAGTCGGTATTTGTGCACCAAGTACCGAGCTGTGTATGTTCAAAGATTCCAACGTATGAAGTAGTCAAGTCAGTGACTGCCAAACACCTTTCTTATGCACATGGAATATGGGACAAACCAATAACCTGTTAATAATGTGCAACCCAGAAACCCCTTTGATCCACAATGTTCATAGCTATGGCATGTGTCTCTCTCTAATGCTGGGAGATTAGAAATGAAGACATCAAATGCTTTTGATGAGAATGCCATGCCCTTGGCAGAACATTTGTAAGAAATCATAGCTTCAGTTGACTTAAATTTGACCATATACATGTTGTGAAGAATACATGGACTGAATGTGTCATACGTGTAAAAAAAAAAATTTGTGGGCTTCAAAGGTCCTGTTTAAAAATTGACAAAATTCTCCTTTGATTACATGTATTTCTATTTCAGTGAATGTACAAGCAATACGTGTAAATGTACTGGTGCTATATTTGTGATTGATTTTGTGTACAAAACTTATTTTGTCTTTGGTGTGGATTGGGATCAGGAATAGATGTTTCAACCATCTAATAATGCTTCTAGATTCATTGTCCGTGGATCCTTTTGATCTTCCTTTTTGTACAATACGGGGGGGGGGTACAACTGACTTGTTGGCAAGTACAATGTATCAGGCTATGTACTAATAAAGTATTCAATAGGCCTTACCTTGACATCACAGCCTTGTTTAGTCTCTTAATTTAGATTCCTTTCATAACCAATGAAACTTACAAAATGGAATTGTCAACAGGTGCCTTCGTTTTTTAAAGTTCACAACACACTACCATACACTTGTTAATCATCACAGATCCAGTCCTGTGTTAATTGCTGTGAATACACACAGGTTGGGAAATACTATTTTTCTGATAGGGAGGATGGGATAGACAGTGAAATACACTGTAGTTTACCATATGACTTTTATACTATTATTAACATGATTATAAACAAAAGTGATCAAATATAACCCATAACCCTTTCTTAAAAGTCTGAAACGTAACATTTGAGAGTCTATAATACATTACATGTACATTGTAACTTAATTCAAGAAAGTACATGTACAATACATGTATACATATACTTCATGTACATCAACTTGGACGGAATAGACATTCAGACAACAAGCAACATTACTTCTGACAAGGAAACCAAACCTGAACTCCTTTGCTTACACTCGACTTCCCACTAACACTAGATCCAACTACACAGTACCCTTATTAGCACACTTCTTGAATGGCTAGCTCTGAAGTCTGTTTTTTCATCTTAGTTGAGCAAAATGAAAAAGTGGAATGTTTATGCTCTAGTTAATCCATGGACAGCTGCTGCATGGCAAATGCTTGCCTGTGTACTGAGATACGCTGGTTTTACACATGGCTTTAAAATGATAAAGGGGAAGTGTACCTCATGCACACACAGTGCTTTAGGAATCATGACAACCCTGCCCAACCACACCTGGTCCTGAAAATGGCAAGCCACTCCTGTAGTTCTCCATTCACAAAAGGATCACTCCTCAAACAATGATGCAGGTTTTTGTGCACATTCAAATGAAAACTGGCCTGCCCGCACACTCTCTGCTCTAATTTTGATGTGTACACCAGTGTTAATCTTTCCACTTCTCTAGAGCTGGCAACACAGTGCTGTCTAGAGTTCCTGTCTGGTGTCCATACTGCTCCCTGTGGTGAGATGACTATATTGTTCAGGCCTTTTCACTCTGTTTCCTTCTCGTTTCTTCCTGCTTCCTTGGAGCCATCTTCTGCATTCTCCAATTTGATGGTTGAGCCTGCTGCTTTTTTTCCATCATCGGCCTCAGGGTTTGGTTTGACCTGCTGAGTCCCATTTGACTGGAGTATGGCCTGCTTCTCTGCCTGTGTCTGTCCCTCTTCATTTGTCTGGGTGACCACTGCCTTCTCGTCATTCTTATTATCAATGATTGTCTGTCCCTCTCCAGTCTGAGGGACATCTTTTTGAGATGAGCCTTCATCAACAACAGCTGTCTGGCCTTCCTCAGTCTGTGGGACAGATTTCCGGGAGGAATCTTCATCAACGTTTTCTGCAACTTTATCTTCGGGGCCACTCTTTTCACTACTTCTAGTTCCTTGAGCGACATTCATGTTTGGTTGTACCTCAGAAGTATCCACACCCCCAGCTGACTTTTCGCGCACCACACTCCCGTCTCTGTTATCAGTCCCTCGCGATGTGCTGATGATCTCTTGGGAGTCTGGCTTTTCTTGCGTTTCATGTGCCTTTGGGTCCTCCGTCTTCAGCGAGGCTTGTGAGTCTGTTTTCAGGATCCGTGGAGTTCCTGATATCCTTTTCTCTTTCTTTTCAACGGAGGGCTTGCGAGATGTTTTGTTCGGTGAACTCAGTGCTACTTTGGAGCCCAGTACTGGTCTCTTCCCCTTGGACGGGCTCTGCCTGATGGCACTTGGTTTCCCACCAGAAGATGGGGGAGTCTAAGAGGAAAAAACCAGGAAAAAATGGCGGTGTTCACCCAAAGTGGCAAAAAGAATGACACTAGAGGCAGGCTTATCGGCATTAATTCATCAAGAATTTGAAAGGGCAGCTATCCATACCAAGTGCTGTAAGATTACAGCCGACAATTAGTTGTTGCCTAAAAATGGTCACAATTTCACCACCACAAAACAATTTTTATTCATGCATTAAACTGCTTCTAGCATTCAACAAAAGTTCAGTACTCCAAAACATCTGGGCTAACCACTTGCTGCCCAGGTTTCCGGAACTGGACTCCTTGGGTTTATATGCAAAGCCAGGGAGCCCGAAATCAGACAAGAGAGCTGGGCCTTGAAACAAAAGACCGTACTCGGAACAAAAGACCAAGCTGCTGCGAATTGCCAACATTTTTTCAGTTGCAAACAGCGGAGGAAATCCGTCATTGTTTTGAAAGATTATACCGCCGTTTGTGGCATTCAGCGCGAGCGGATTACCACCGGGGACAAAACGCTCCAGTGATGAGCGATACAATACCGCTGCATGCTAATCTGGCCCCTATTGAAAAGACGCCAGCAGTGCACCGTACCAGTTTCGGGAACAAAAGAAAATTACATAACACCACCCAATCTGGGCTCTTTTACAAGGCGGCAGGCCCGGCTTAAATACTCGGGCGTCAACAGATGTTGTCTGTTAGATTAGAGTAGTCACCAGACAGTCATTCATGTGGGTGTAAACGTCCAGTAAATGAAGTTATAAATTTTTTAAGAATTTTGAAAACTGAAAAAAGATGAAAAATTACCCAGCCCAGCAGAATCAACATAGATAAATGGGCCTGGCTCGAAGTGGTTAAAATACAAATCTGCAAGGAAATATTTTACTATTAGGTTTTCTTCTTAACCAATGTTGTCTGAGAGCTTGCAAGGAAAAAAGTCACAGTCTAATTAATCAGGTTAGACTCCAACCCCAAACCCTCCTTTTTGTCGAGCAGATGTCTCAACCATTGGACCACCAGGCTCAGGGTCAGGCGGCCAGTTCCAGTGCGACAAAGCAGGAGGAGCCGTAATCAGTAAACAAAGGACAACCTTAACACTGAAATTTTCACCCCTCAAAAAATTCTTCTCACTCATGAGATGAGGCTATTATTACAAAGATAAACCACAGGGTTTAGAAAGATGGGTTACAACTTAAACCAACCTGTTTGGCTCTTGGGTCAACTACAGTCACCGTCTTCTTGGGGACTGCGCCCGGCCTCCTAGAGACTAAAATAGACTCCTTGGCAGGTGGCTGTTGCTGTTGCTGTGCTGCCTTGACACTCTTCACCAGGGGGTTGGTGGGGCTGAGTGTGGCTGTTTTATTGGGTGAGGGACGTCGTACTGGCTTGGTCTTGTTGGCTGGGGATGTTACCTTTGGGAGGCTGGGCACCTTGGTGGCACTGAAGGCACCTCTGGTCTCACCCTGCCCCAAAAAAGAAAAACAAATTGTCCAATCATTTGGGACAGATGCTTTGAGGAAAGAGATATTAACCATACGCTGCTGGATCTAAATTGAAGTTGCATGACAAGTTCCTGGGGGATTTTCAAGATTTTCTGTTTTCAAAATTTTTCAAAAATTCATAACTTCATTTACTGAACATTTACTCCCACACAAATGACTGTCCGGTACTACTCTAATCTGACAAGCAACATCTATTGACACCCAAGTATTTCAGCCAGGCCTGCCACCTTGTAAAGAGAGCCCAGATTGCGCAGCATTGCAGAATTTTCTTTTGTGCCCGAAACTGGCCCGGTACGCTACTGGCGTCTTTTCAAATGCAGCCAGATTAGCGTGCAGCGGTACTGTATCACTTATCGCTGGAGCACTTTTGTCCCCAGTCATAATCCGCTTGCACTGAATGCCACAAACAGTGGTATACTGTTTTGAAACAATGACGGATTACCTCCGCTAGTGACAACTGAAAAAAATGTCTGCAATTCCCAGCAGCCCAGTCTTTTGTTCCGAGTACAGTCTTCTGTTACAAGGTCCAGCTCCTTTGTCCGATTTCCGGAACCCCGGCTATGTGTACAAACCTAACGTCTCCAGTACCGGGTATCCCAGCGCGAAGTGGTTAAACACCAAATAATTTAATTACCCTGGTAAGTTAACAGATAATACAGCTTAGAATGGAGGCCATCTTTAGAAAACTGCCACAAAGAAAACACAGGTTTTGAAAATTTGGGGGCTCTTTGGTGTTCAGCTTATAAATGATAATGATATACAAGTACCAATTTAGGCTTGCATTGTTTTGGCTTAACCACTTGCTGCCGGGGTTTCCGGTACTGGACACGTTTTCTTTATACGCGTAGCCGGGGTCTCTGAAATCAGACAAAGGGAACTGGGCTTTGTAACAAAAGACCACAAAAGATCCAATGTAACAAAAGATCCAATGGGACCACCACCTTACCTCCTGCTGATCCTGCTGATTGGCTGGGCACCCGTGCACCAGCACCATGTTGATCAGCGCCTTCTTGTACGGCTCCTGGCAGATGCTTGAGATTGCGTCCATCAGGGTCTCCCCATATCGCTGCCGGTATGCCTTCCTGATTTGTGGCATGTCAATCTAGTGAGGATAATTCTTTTTTTGAATTCTAAGAATTCCCCAAAGCTGAATATCATTTAAAAATTATTCCTTAGAAAATGCAAATACACAATGCCAAATTCTGTGAAGCACACTCAAATGTTATCCAGCACACTTCAACGACAGCAATTTGACTAGATCTGAGCTATAAACCTCAGGAAAAAACTTAAACACAAGAACTTGAAACAGTATGATCAGACTGTAGTTGGCTCTCTTGGTTGAGGCACTTTATGTTTCATATAAGAATTTGGCCAGCTGGAGTACACATGAAAGAGATGGTCACGGTGAAAAAAAATTTTAAAATGTGAAATATGTTTATGATGTTCACGACCAGCTGCTTGCCCTCATTCATAGTAACAAGTCTCCAGTTTAAGTTTATGTAGACACAAGCCATAGGGGCAGGAGGTAGATAAGCTCACCTCTGATCTGGTGATGACGAGCCTGATCAAACTGGGACTGTTCTGCCTCACCAGACTGATGCGGAACCGCTCCGCCATGTACATGGCACAGTGGTACAGGCACTTCACTATGGACAGATCAAAGAATACACCTCTTTCTACAGCAACGTGTTGACCCTTCAATGAAGTCATTGGTAGAGTCACTAGAGTGACTACTGTAACACCAGTGGGGGGCGGGTTTGACAGTGCAAAAGTATCCTGATGTCACTTTCTGGTAAATATCTTGGAAGTTGGAACAGAGGGATTGCACTTCATTTTTTTAATGGTTCCATGCCATGAGAAAGGAATTATAACTGAGCGCGAGCTTCAAAAGGTCTATTAATGTCTTTTCACCTTTCAGTGACCATATTTGAGATTTTCACTTTTTACGACAGTGAGATCACACTCACCACACAGCACTTGTGTCACATAAAACTCATATAAGATTGAAACCTTTCAACCTGAATACCAGTATGCAACTGACTGAAATAAAGAAAGAGATACAGCTCTTGTAGCACTGCAGTGCGACGGCTATCTGAACCCAAACAGCTGTCTCCCCCCCTCTGCCTGACAGCATGATCTGAGAGACTCACCCATTGCTTGCAGAGCATCCCTGTAGTCCCCTCCCAGTTGCTGCTGTATCTCATCCATAACTCTCCTTCCATACAGCTGTCATTATTTCAGCCAATGAAACAGAGTGCACAAGAAAACAGAGAATAGAATAGAAATATTATTTCAAAATTCCAGTTGAGTCACGTACACATTTTATACGTAACTGTATGCTGCTTCAGTGATGTGAATTCTCTAGTTCCCTGAGACCATTCTTGTCTCAACAGGGCAGTTATAAACAACACCGCTGAGGTTAAATCATCACAAGTCTGTCAAAAGTCATCCAGTCTCAAGTCAATTCCCCAAAACTCAAATGAATTCCAGCAAAGGTTCTGTGTCAAAGTTCTCAGTTGACACTCCAAAAAACACAACTACACTGCTACAATGCCAAACAGTTGCACTGTCCAAAGTGAAACGGGCTAGGAAGACCCACCTGCTCATACTGTTCCAAGACCTCTCTGATCTGGGAGAAGCTAGCGATTCGCAGCAGCTCTGCTAGTTTGCCAGTGTCAGCTTTCCATCTCTCCTCCTCAGACTCAGTGTTCAAGATCTCAGCATCCTGCTTGGCTCGGTCGGGGTCAATCTCACTGCCCTCCATGCGAGTGCCCTATCAACGGCATTGAGAAAGAGGAAGAAATCAAAGAGGCCCACCTCAAAGCAAGAGAGGTTGGAGCAGCGTTGGGGGTTCAGAAAATACTCTGAAGGATACTAGTCCCTTGCAAATCACCCTAGGCTAAAAGTGGCTAGCCTATGGACACATGCCACATGGTCAGTGGCCAGTTGCGCTGACTTTTCAACGAGGAGCAAATTCAAGAGGTCATCCCTCCTAGGACCCCGCCTTCTCCCTCCCACGCAGGCACAGTTTCAAGTGCACATGGCGCAAAGTGCGCACAACCCATTTCCACTTAAATGCAGTCTTTCTTAGGTAGCCCAGCTTCTCTTTTCTATACCAGCCAGGGGGGTGCGGTCCAAGGAGATCACAGCTCACTGAGGTATACCTTGGCTACGGCAAGGAAGAGATGTCTTAGCTGGCCTTTGGTCTCGCTCTTGATGTCATCAGCGAGCTGGGTGCCGTACTCCTTGGCATATGCCTTCTTGATAACACTGATTGCCTGCAGAGGTAGAAAAAAAAATGAAACTAATGAGGAAGCCACTCTCGTGTATGTGTTGCCACTGGAAATTATCTCCACTCAAAGACACTTCTTGCATTTGTCTGCCTGCTATGAAATGCATATATTCTATCATAAAAACACACCTACCTGAAATGTGCATGATGAACGTATACACTGTCATTTTAAATGATAATCATTTTAAATTATTTCGTGTTCTCCAGCACAAACTGTAAAACGTTTGTTTGGCAAATTTCCATTTTACCACCAAGAAATGATTCAAAAATGTATTTTAACCCCTTGAGGACGGGAATTTTTTTTCTGAAAGCCGACTCCAAGAATTCCAGCCTCACTTGGCCACGAAGGCCACCTGCCAAACTGCAAATTATCGGTTTGTGGCCCTGCATGCTCTGTACGCTTTGAATTACACGGTGAAAAGGCTGATTGTTCAGTGGCATGCAGCTCTACTCACGCTTCCACATTCCCGTTGCCTCTTTTCAAAGTGGGGACTTTTGTGAAGCTGGTGATTATGATGCAAATTCGGTCTTTTCATTTCTGGGCTACGCACAAAGACCAATTACCATATATACAAGAGCCAGGGTCTGCCTTCTTTCACCTCGTTCACTCGAGCGGGGGCCGAGAATAATAGCTGAAAAGTGGGCTGAGGATCTCAATTTTTATGGCGGCTCTAGCCGTGTCCCGGCGCAAAGGGGTTAAGAAAAACATCATTAATCTTTCAGTCTAGTGTAACTTACTGCATTATTTCTTGTGCACAGAAGTCCCATCACAGTGTCTGTCAAAGGCAACTCTCCCTGTCAAGACACCAGAACCACAATGAACTTCAACTTTCCACAGTTTATTAAAAGGTATGGGATACTGAATGAAGGGATGCTTTCAGAGCTATTACATGATCAAATACAACAGACAAAGAGTAGGATGTTATACCCACAATCAACAGAAGTGACTCGACTTGTTGAATACTGCACAGCTCAAGCAGGTTGTCATTTGTCAACAAAATGGGGTGCCCTGGTTAGCTTGAGATAGAAATTTCATGTTATTCTTGGAGTGCTCAATGACCATCCTTTGGGATGAATGAAATCCACTGCAACCAGACAAGTCTCAGTTGAAAAAATATTAAATGTTTTAAGTAAAAGGTTTACGGAGGCACAATGCAAGGGTATCTCTTTTGTGAGTACATGTAGGTCTTGTTCTGAAAAGAACCACAGGGTACTTGACATTTCATTTAATTAACCACCTTTACCAAGTTTCAAAGCTCATCTATTAAATGTTTCATGTAACAAATTTTTTGTCCATCTCAGTATCAAGCAAGCTTGAACTTTAAACTTTAAACTCATGCAAGGTGTGAACAAACCAATGGATGAGCTCACTTCATATTGCGTTAAGTTGCTTTACATTAAAATACCCTTCTGGTCTGAGGACTGCTTGCTTCATCAAGCTGCAATGAGCCAACTCCGTATTCCAACAGCACATGCCCAAAACGAAGCACATGAGTGTTCATTTCTGAACAGTATGCATACACAACGTTTGCGCTATCAGCACCGTCATCCACTGACTTGCATGTGTGCTTTGTTCTTGAATGACCAAGACTTTTAGAAATACCAAACTAGCAGATTCAAAAACTGACTGACACCGGCAAAATTTCAACCCTTAGCACAGGAACAGGTGGAAAGGCTTGCGGTAGCACCATGCGAAGGAATACATCTCTTATGGGTATACTCCCGGTTCTTTTCAGAACCACACATACTCATAAGAGATATGTTCCTTCACATGGTGCTACCGCAAGCCTTTCCACCTATTGCTGTCTTTCACAATGAATAGCCTGAAATTCCACCTAAGCACAGGATTGAAGAACAGGTAGAGGAGACTCTGCCTTTCACACAGTTTTGCTCCTCTTTTGTTCATATTCTATGCCTTTTTGAACAGCCTCATATTTTCTGTGCGATCATCAATTAAACAACTGTTGAGCACTGTGATGCGGGATATAACCCGAGGGACGCACAGCACCCCAAGGCGAAACCGAGGGCTCTTTGTCTACCCGAGGGTGTTCAAAACATCATATGCCACATCACAGCAGTCAGCAATGGTTTTGTCATACGTGTCTTCATTATGTCGAGGCTCAGGAATTTGCCCAAAGAAACAAGTTCTGAATTTCAGAAGTTCAGGAGATGCTAGGCCTACTGTCAAACTGTATAATAAACAGACATAAATGATATCGTCTGCGAAGGTACTGTCCCCTCATTTTCTATCCCTAACAGTCCTGAATCCTCTGATTTCAATAATTTTATAGCACCCTGGGGGTAAGGGTTAATTGCTTAAACCTTAATGTGAAAGTAGGGCAGGTACCAGTGAGTACAAGTTCACATGTCATGTCTCCTTAGTGATCCTTTCATTACCTAATATGCTGCGGGGACGAGAATGAGTCTGTTATATGAATCCAACCAGTGATTAAATGCCCTGGTAAACTATACACAAAATGTATCATGGGTAACTGACTAAACGAGCAACAGCGGTCACTCTCGAACTTCCCAAACTCTCCTGTCTCCTGCACGTGCTATAGGCAGAATGAGTTGTCTCACAGCGAGTGTGATATGCGGAAATATTGCCCTGTTGTAATCGTTCTGGGCCACTGAACAGACAGTATTCAAGACAAAGGTATGACAATGTTTAGTCTATCATGCACCTCGTCAGCCTCTGTTGTTCAACAACTTGTCCACAATAGAAACATCCAAGTATGCAGTCCCGACTTTCCCAACAAAGAAACTTCCCCTGATAGTGGAGGCCGACACACACACACTTGCCATTTTACCTTGAGTGCCTGTCGCAGTGCAGTAGCATCAATCATTTCTCGCTTGGCCAGGAGGATGCTGATGATGTCCGTCCACTCATCTCCAAGGACTTCAATCAGCTCTACCTCAAGGTCCTGACCAAAACACGAGTAAAGTTTTAATCATTACAAACTCATGGAAAAATAATCATTCCTTATAGTCCTAGAGGTCTGAATCTAATTTCACTAAGGAATGCTGCGACATTAGCTCAAGACCGCCGGGCCTGGAGGTCTGTATCAGAAATGGGTGCCACCTACCCTCTTTAGAGGACAATACTGGATTGGATAGGACTATAGTCAAGTCCATCATAAGTAAAAATTGCATCACTGAACCCCCAGTCTTCGCAAGCTATTCAAATGAACTTTGTCGAAACCATGCCTTTGTTGATTACAAAAGCATCTCGTGGTCATTGTGAACTGAAAAGTGATACAGTTTTGACTTAACTCGAGACACACTTGAAATGGACTTTACGGACTTGAAAACTGCACTGACTTCCTACAAGTGAAATTTTGCCGTGTTATATTCTGGGCCAAACAGTGAATTCCTAACTTCACACTACCCCCATTTTGCAGCAGAGTGCTGGGAATTCTCCAATAGCACAACGCTATACAGTATTTAACCAATGGCACATTAATTTGACAATGGGTGTTTCTGCCCTTCACATTCCCTTCAAAATGTTCAGTGTGGTATCCGCTGTTGATCTGACTCAAAATGGCCAGCCAACCCAAGCAGTCAATGGTGCATCTCCAATAATAAGCAAGTAGTCTTGGGGTCGAATCCCACCGAACTTAGCTTGTGATTTTTCTTCACAAGCCCTCAGACAACACACACTATACAGTTTTTATAAACATACTTCAGTGAGGGTAAAAATTCCCAATATAAATTAATATCTCCCTGATGCAAATATAACAATGCATTCTTTGTACTGAATGCTACAAAACAGTCGTGTAGAAACCCTGAAGAGCTTCATTTTATTTCCCTAACAGTCACTTCAATCCTCAAATATTTCATGTAACTTTGCGCACAATCTCTAGGGAGTTAGTAGGGTTGAGCCTGTATCCTAATTGCTAAAGTCCCAAAATAAATTGATCTGTTTATTCCTTCTTCCATTTGAGGAAACAGATTTCCAGAAAGAATGGAAGTTAGGAACCTTCTGAAACTGTGCAAAGGGGTTCAGTCCACAAAACAACCTGTTTGGTAGCAAAGGAAATTGAAGCAAATTCTACATGAATTAATCACAACTAGGGACATTTCTAGTTTTATTAGCTGAAATTTATCACATTTTACAGATGCATATTGATAACCTCTGTGAGCACCACCATCATCTCTAAAGACCTGAGACTACATCAAGGAAAGACAACAAAATAAATCTGAAATGTAGGGGTAGACTTTGTTCAAAGTTTCTAAAAAATGAGAACTGCATGCAGTAAAGTTTTATGTTTTCCTTAGGGAAAGAGATTAGAGACAAGATATCAATTTCAAGATTTAATTTATATGCAGGCGTATGCAGGGAAAGAGATTAGAGACAAGATATCAATTTCAAGATTTAATTTATATGCAGGCGTATTCCGAGAAATAATGGAATGAGTCACAAGTCTTCATGGCTTGAGTTGTGACACATCAAAATCATGCATCAACTTCTGTGGCTACTGCATGGATTTTGTAGGTGACTAGCCATAGTTGTAAGCAATACCCGTTTCAGACACAGCGTAAGCCTCATAGTCTTACCAGTTCATAGTGCTTTTCAAATATCTCTTTGGTCTGTTGCCTCTGGCTGTAGGTCCTCCTGGCCAAGGTATGGATGAAAGCCGTCTCAGCTTTGGCTGGGGGTAAACAGGAAAAAAAGCAATGATTGTTTTATGTAATTAATGCAATGTAAGTGATCATTGAGAAAAGCATTCCCTATTTTGTGAGCGTCCATTTCATGAAATGTACATAAAAAGGGACAGAAGGGTGCTGCTGATTGTTGACAACTTGATTATTTTTTTCTTCTAAGAAGCCTTCAAATTGATGTGGAATTTTACCATACGTTGATAAATTAAAAAATTCATGGGTACTTTTGTTGTTTTTTACAACTGAATGGTTAATTTTATTCTTGGGTACTTTACAATTGTACATTGTGTATAAAGGGTCAGATATATAAATACTTTCCTAAAGTCAACAGCCCTGCTTTTTCTAACCCTCAGGTAACTGTAACTCTGAATCCCTAGGCATTTCCCTTCCCGAATCTTCCAACCTTGCCACTTTGCAGACATCCAATGGCACATTCTTTGTACATATCTCTGAAGAGCATTGAGTCCAAAACAATGTAATAGCAACTGGGTTGTCTATTTACACACTGCGCATTTCCCCGGTCCTATAAAATACTCCAAAATATCCCATGGACTTTGAAGGATCTGGGACAGTTAGAGTCAAGGCTTGGGGGTCAAAGGCCATGGTGGGATGTCATGGGGCTTAGAACTTTTCCTTCAGTTAAGCCTTACTGTGATTTCTGTCATGTCCTTGTTGTAATCCAATATAAAATACTTCCCCAGTAATCAATGTAGTAGAAATTGTCAAACTTCTCTTCTAGTCCACTGATGAAACAACTTACTCATTCCCTTGGTAGCTTTGAAGAGCCTGGCAGCATCTTCCTTGTCATCATATGGAGCTGGTTTACTTGCCGCTTCTCTCTGTTCCCAGAAAGAACAATTTGAAATAAGCTTGAATGAAAATTTTTATTAGAACTGTCCACAAAGGTATGAAATATTACAGTATTTAAATATAATGGTATAATATGAATATGACAATAGTCTGGGTACAACCCATGCATTAAGGGACAAGAAAACCAGTGAATCAGGAAATGGGCCAAGGAAAGCAGAGCCACTGCATCACTCTGATTGGCCGGTGCAATTGTCTCCCACCTTTCTCTTCTCTTCCTCTTTCTTCCTACTGTGTCCCAGCAGGGGCAGCTTGGGCTGGGGCTTCGGCCTCCGGAAGATGGTGGGAGCTTTCTTGTTCACCTGAAGAGAGGAAAAGAGAAAAAAACGAGCATTAATACCCACAAGAATTCACATCATGAACAGCAGCAAATCAAAGTAAATCAGAGGATGTGTTTAAAATATGGCCTAAATGTGAGGAAACGTAGGAGGCAATGCACACTGAAAGTACTTGTTATGGGAACAAATACATTTTAGAAGATGGAATAACAACACAAATACCATTAAAAGTGGCAATTTCACACAAAACAAAAGTATTAAAAGTGGTAGGTTTTTTGAAATTGAGAAATGTATGTAACAGAAATCTTTGAAACAAGACCTTTTGAACGATGTCATATAGTAAAAGGTATACGTGTGTGATTAAATTCTTTGAATGGGATTGCAAAAATCTCATTTGAGGCTTCACAGGATGCAATATGCAATGTTTGGATAGAAAGTCCATTTTTAGAGCGCCTACCACTGTCTTGTTCTTGCTTGTACCCGATGGGCTGATGCTGACTTGATCGACCTGCTCCTCGGTCTCTGTCTGCCCAGGCTCGGACTGGTGAACAGACTGCCAGGAGTAAATATCGAGCACATGTAATTCATAACATAGATCCCTGTGCCTGGGCAGTCAAGGCAACAGTAACCTGTGTTCGAAAACTGGCTGGAACAATTAAATGTAACTGTATTCAATCCAGCTCAAGTGCATTTTGTGACCCACCATTCCAAAACCAGGCTGAAGATTTGCAAGCCAGTATTTGGAAAAATGATATTGATATGCACATGAGCAATGCAAATGCCACAACTTTCACTGTCCATTACTACTAAAACTTTCTGCAGAAAAACAGTTCACCATGGATCACTTTGTACGAAAGAATAACAGCAGAGAAGAGGAAAAGTGATACCTGTACATCAAAATCACCTAGTTCAGCCTGGTTTTGGAATGCGGGGTCACGGTTTCTCTCGTGATAAAAAGATGTAAATGGTTTTGTGCATATTCAATTGAAAATTAACTCACCCAATTGTTGTACCTAACTTGTGCATATCAGCCATACACACTTCTCTAATTCATATAAGTTACATATATAGCACAATCCATATTTTATGCATGGATTTTGCAAGATGGACTTACTCCATTGGCGGTGGCAACCTCCTGATCCCTGTTGTAGAAATGGGGCTCATCTTCTTCAAAGCCCCTCGTTTCAACCTCAAAGCTTTTAGTCTCTTGGGCCTTCAGTGTCAGATAGTACTCATGAAGCAAGTAATCATCCTCCTATCAAACCATGAACAAACTTGCAATCAGAGTGCACTCATAGCACAGGAATCTATATACATTTATATGCAAAATTTAAGTGGGCATTTACGTGGGCATCCACATGGAATGCCCGGTACACTTTTGCACACGTCAAGATGAAAATCAGGCACACACAATGCGAGTCGTGCATGTGGATTGTGGAACGTTACTTTGACATATGTACATCTTTTTTGGTACCTGCTACTGAAGGAAGAGCCCTTGTTTGGCTTGAAAAGTTTCTCATACTTTTCAGGTTAGTTTGAAGACTTGAAATGCACAAAGAACTATCTGCTCTAAACTGCAAATCATGGCAGAAGTGAAGATGACTTCTAGCTCACCCATTGGTCAACATTGTATTCTGCCGTGACGCTGAGGAGTCGTTTGGATATCTTGTCATTTTCAGCAGCTATTCTCTCTTGCTCTCTTAGCATGTGAGGCCTGTTCAAACTGTTCACAGCAAATCAAAGAGACAAATGTTCCACATAATTGAGTCTAGAAGTCTCTGTGTTACATAATGTAATAAAACAAAACACTCTTCAACCTCAGAAATTACTGTGAAACTTCTTCAAGTCAACTCAATTCTCACCAACTCAATTCTCACCAACTTGGTCCAACTCAACTCTGTCAATCATCAACTCTGAAGTTAGTCCAAAGTTGACTCATTAAAATCAACTTGGTCTACATGTACAATTTACAAGTACATGATATATTCTACTCTAAGGCCAACTTAGTTTGATTTCAGTTCTGTCTCTACTGGCTAATGGATACAGATCTCACATAACTGCTTGGAAGGATGGAAGGGACATGGGGGGCTTGAGTGGGCTCATCAATGATGCAACTGAGATCAGTCCCAAATCATCATGGACAAGAGGTGGAGAAATAACACAGTGCAAAGAATGGGTCACAAATTAGCCTATGAACTGGCTCACTTCTGTTCTTTACTTCTAGGCCAATGTAGAATGATCTTGAATCTCCAAATTCACTAGTGAGGATTAAGGTGAAAATCCAATTGAAAGCTGCAACTGCTTTACTGGAGCTGTTTATGTCCAAACTTCTTTGGTATGTCTAAAAATATGCATATGTAAATTTAAGTTATTTGGGTGTCTCTGGGTGCAATCAAAATCAATCTCTCACCTTTTGGGCAGCTCATCATAGTCTTCATTCCAGTTGTCCAGCTGTCCTGCTGAACGGATGACCTTGGTCAGTTTAGCCAGAAGGATGCGGTTCTCCTGGTCAATTGCCTCTTGCCTCTGCTCCTCCAGCTGTGGGTGAGAAAAATTCCAGTTTTGCTCAATTAAGAACGAACAATTTCTAGTTTTTTAGCCTCCCTTTTAATCCCAGTATACAATGGTTCATGATGTGGCAAAAACTGCACATGTACATGTACACTGTAATCTCTGACTTTGTATATACTTTGGGCCAATAAATTGCCACTAAAAACTGAAAGTTATCATTTACGGAATCAACGGTTCCAACTTTAACTATATTAAACAGTGCGAATAAAATTTCATTTCTGCTTACACATGTGTACCAACAGATGAGGAGTGACCACCTGAAAATGGCTAAGCAAGATTTCTTTTCAACACGATTGCCACAGAGTTTGCACAAATGGGTGACGAAACTGACACAATTTGTGAAGATCTGAGTTAAATTTCACTGTAAATATTTTAAACATATCCAACATTGTTTTCTCTAAAAAAAATACTTTTGAACAAACACAGATGTATGTGTCTGGTTGATAATTAGAGATGGGTGTACTTTCTCCTTGCATAGCAATAAATCAAATAATATATTTATTTAATACTGTAGTGGAAAGTGTACGAACTTCACTAACTTTTGCTGTGCGTAATAATGAGGACTAGTGTGGTGTGTACATATCCTGTGATGTACACAGGATGGTTTGCGTGTGATCAAGGCAAGCGCGTAACTGGGCGGAGCTTGCTTTTTGTTAAGATTCAGCTAATTCAGCGAAGCTGTGTACATGTAGACGTAAGTTCTTGGTGCTCTCACTGTGGCGTACGTGTGTTGCTATGGGCGTTGTGTATGCTGCTATATGCTAGGCGAGGGCAGACCGTCTCCGTGTAGCATTACACAGGTTGTACAGTCCAGCCGTTCACTTGCAGGTGCATTATAGTAGATTTGGGCTGGGCCCGCGGTGCCATGGTGCTTAGTGCATGCGGGCCATATCGTTATAGTGACACTGGGCTAAGCAATGCGTTAGGCAGTGCGACATTGAGATGTGTAGTGCTACTGCGGTCCAGTGTTGGTAATTGGTCTTGTGTTGGCAACGTTGGACGTGCATTGCTGATAGTGTTCATGCGATGCGACATTGTTTTGTGCATTGCATGTAGGAGTTGCATGAGGCAACATTAGTCAGTGCGTTGCTGATTGGCGCGACGCAGTGCGATATTAGCTGTGTATTGCTAATAGCCTCTCCTCAAGACCAAGCAAAGCAATAGAGGTTGTAATAAAGCTTTAATACCCAATACGAATTATCCTGAATCACTCAATCAATTAATTATTCATTGAATGTCTGAATAAATCCCATTGTTGTTGAGGTTACCGGCAATCTAATTGTCAGGTGTCCTTGTTGTTGTGTGTTGTCTAATTGGCAGAGAGCATCACAGTCATCATAATTGGCAGTATATTTCCACCAAAATGGATCTGTTCCCTTAGCCTTTAGGTCACTTTGTGTGAACTCTGGACCGAGGAGGAACCCGAGGTTAGGTTGGAGTCGAGAGCCCAAACAGTTTCAGACTTTATCCTCAAACGTAGGTTAGGTTATTCTTTGGTTTTAATACCTGGATTTTCTTGAGGTTCAGTTGTAGATGCAGGTAGGATTTAGGCGTCTTGGTATTCAGGCTTGTCTTCACAGATTTCCTCTACGGAATTAAAGACAAAGAAATCAATCTGAATGAAAGAAGAAAATAATTCTTCAACAATCGATGATCACATGATCAACGTTCTTCAGTGAGAATTAACATTCTAACACATACTGATTCTGAAACATACATGCTAGAACCTCCAATTTAAAAAAATATATAATTTATGTTTTACAGAAAAAGTCCTTTGTACGTAACAGATTTATGTTTTAATTTAAACATGCAAGCAAACAAAATTTCATTCTTTTCTATGGTTAATATTAACAGTAAACATCTGCTCAAACCTAACTGGTATACAGAGCCATGGGCACAGAGAAAGCACAGGCAAGTACATGTAGCCAATTAACTTTATGTTTGAATTGGAACCGTCAATCTGTTATAAAGTAAACCTTGCCAGTTCAAATAGCACCAAGAACTCTTCATCCGGGATAAGTACCATTGAGTCAGTTCCAGTGACCCTGTTGTGTATTGTCAATGGAAATACTGCATGGAAGCCTAAGTACACACACCTCAGCAGCCCATGCACAATGGGGTAACCCTGACAACCAGCAGGTTACGCCAAAACACGGTGTGCATTTCAAATGTCTGCGCGCCAGATTTTTTACTTACTGGACTTTTTTGTTGTCTGATATTCTCCTGGAACACATGTATGATATTCAATCAAGGAAATTAATGGCAGGACAGAAACTCAAAGAAATAGAAAAGTTTGTCCTTTGAAACTGTCCATATAAAACCCTCCATGTTGATGAACACTCACTACCGGTAAATTGTTTTGTCCTTATCTTCAACTTAATCCACATCACTTGATAGGTTTAGCCTTTGCGCATTATTGTTGTGCACGCATATAACTGTGCAAGTGCACATAAACATGAACCCCTACCGGTAATTTAAAAAATATGTTCCAAACTCTAATTTTAACCTAAGATCATGTAAGATCATTATTCAAACACATAAATTGTGTGCGCGCTTCATCTTTTTAACAATTTGTTCTTTAACACAATCTGTTTTCTTTTACCAAACTACATATAATATCCAGCTCCTGTTTTATTTCAATTTTCTGTAATACTTAGTGGAAATGTTATACTGTGTAAACTTCCAGTCAGTTTTTCTTTGATCTTTTTTGCTATCAGGAAGCAAGTACATACACTGTACATACTTATAATGGCAGTCACTGAGAGGGAAGGGATGTCACTGTAAAATATGTGGTTGTAAAATGTCAACCAAACTTTCTTCTCCAATGTGCAACCACAGCAAAATGGATGGATAAAAAATGCAAAATTTACAGATATGCATGTACTTCAACCAATAAAAACCCAAGTGCAAGGTACAAATGCAAGTACAGAATATCTTGTGAACTTCATTTTGCTATCTTTCATTTCAGCTTCTAGTTAATCACCTTCGATAAGTGTATGATCATGGTAATTTAACAAACACAAAAATTTACAATTAGCCTGAGAAGGGCTTAAAGCAGATTGTCCACGGGGCCTTATGGCAAGCCACTAAACCTGAGTTCATTCTTCAACTTACTCTGAAAAACTAACTGAAAAAAGTACTTTGAAGGGACCTTGCTTTGCTTTTAAGATAAACAGAAAAATCCAGGCAAATGATCACTGAACATCTGGAGGACCAAGGACAAAAGGATTATGCAAGCTAAAGGCACACACTGGTACATAAACTGCAAAAAAAATAATGGACTCCATTTCTTCTTTTAACTGAGCAAGGCTGAGGCTTGGATTGTGCGACTTGTATAAAATCTCCTAATAAAGCTTGTAACTGAATGTTAACAAAACAAGTCTTCAAGTTAACGTTTGATTCTCATACCCTTGTTTGCTTATAAAATGCTTTTAAAATTTGATTAATAAAATTTTATTTCTCTTTGGTGTACTCTTTTCTTTTGTAACCTTATTTTCACATGCACAAGTACATGTAGGTACTAAAATAGCGAAGTAAGAAATCTACCTGTATCTGGAGGTCATCAAACTTTTTGGTTTTCTTTCTAATGCATTTTGTTCTACAGTTAAGGCCAACCCGCACCAAAAAACGTTCATTTGATGCATCTCGAGCATATGCAGTAGAACGAGCTGTTGATTGGTGAAACAGGTCACGAGAGGGCGCAACAGAAATCGGCACACGTGGCATATGCTCAATCAAGTCTGCCATCGAGTTCTGCCGTCTTGGCCCAAGACTACTGATTTACTGGAATAAGAACCCACTTGCTACTCAAAAGGTTAGAGCCTAATCGGATTATTGGATGGTTTCATTGTGTCCTTATTTTGAAAACATGCATATACCTATAAGGTCTGAGATTAAATGCACCTTTTCTGCATATGAATGATGACTCTCTGGTCATATCTGTGTGTGCTACTCTTGATAAGCTACTTAGGGTGGTGAAAGCAGGAAAATGTTGCCCATGCAGGCGGACTATATGATGCGATGGTCAATGGTTACCTTTCTGTCATCTTAAAATAACCATGTGACGCAAAAGTATACATTGTACTCCTGGTACAATCAAGAGCATACAGGTACTCTCACTAAGCCAGGTTCTGGGTGATGCTCAAGTTGAGCTTTTCACGGTAACTATCCAGATATACTGTCATCCGTTCACTCATGACTATACTTGTTAACACAAGTCACACACTCAAACACAGCCTCCGTGAGACATAAATTAGCTATTACAGGAGGCTACGCACATACATGTATGCACATGTAATGGTCAACAAATACACAGAAAAACCTGAAATGATAAATGACTGTGAGTTGGGAAGTGATTCCTACCCGGGAAATTTCAGCACATTCAATCCTAACAGAGAGGCTTCCAAGCATGATCAATTGTTGTGATTGGTTGATATGACGGAAAGGGCAGCTGCACTGATTTGAATATTTGATCAAGAAACCCTTTGAAAGGGAGTGTCACTGTGCATTTAAAAAAATGTCAGATACATTGTACATGTACATACAGGTGGTAGGGTGCTAGGGTCACAGAAGACCGTGCATTTTAGAAAGCATTCCATTAATTGGTTAATTACATATACATGTACACATGAAAATGTGAGGGAAAATCACCAGTGCTACTGTAGCTAACAAAATACCAACTCAAAAGGGCTGTCAAATATTCAGCGTTATAAATCTCCCCTCCAAAACACACACACACCCACTCTGAATTCCCTCACAACAACTTTTCCAATTTGTCCATTCAGACGTGGGAGGGGGGAACTTGTAGCATATATTTTACTTCTCAGTTTTTTTATTTGGTTGCTTTAAATTCCCCCCCCCACTACTTCATTTTTTTTCAATTTGCACACAGGCAGGGAGAGGGCTACTTTTTCTGCTACAATGGATTCATCATTTCAACTTGAGTTCTTTTTCTTTCAATTTGAATCCTCTAAGCCCTTTCCATGAGACATGACTATAGACAGCAAACATTGGTTTGTCAATCAAATGTTGCTGCATGATTTCACAGATTTTACACAATGGCAACTCCGTAAAATAACGTTTGAACTATAATTTGCACATAACCAGACTGACCATTATTCAGTGATAATTCTGTCAGCTTCGGGTTCACCAACCATGCTGCATTCAGAAATACTCTTTTTTAACCTGAACAGCAATCATAGTGCAGAATTGTAAATCCACCCCTCCACAAAAGGTGTCAACTGATGTGGATTTCAAGACACGAGCTTTATTGATAATTTATTTGTATTCAACAGCAGCAGAGAAGAGTGAGGCAGAAAGTGGAATTTGTATGGTGGCTAGGGCACAGTGCATTTGTAAGCATGACTAGGATCAAGTTCCTGAGAGGGGGAACTTGGGGTGGACACATTTCCTCAAGGGGGCACTGATAGCCCCCAACTCCCTCCCCCATCCTAAGAAATCACATCACTGACATGACTCACGGTAAACTGTGAAATCGAAAGGAGGGGACTGTCAAACTGCAACCACATATTCAGATTTACCTGAATTTTTCACCAACTCCATGAACTTTGGAGGGAAATGTGTCATAACTTTGGCAGGGATGGATGAAACAGGTCTACCCCTCATTTTGTAGGCCTAAATATTATGCTCTTTTTGGAAAAAAAGTAAAAACTTTAGAAAGAATACAACTAATTTACAGAAATCATAAATTAACCTTGGCCTACATGTATAAGGATTCCATACACGGATATCACTTATGTTCTCCTTGTGCAGTGCTTTGTCAGCTGGAAGAAAGTGATAACATGTCTCAAGGGAAACTATCGAGGCATTTTGTCAAAAACAATATTTCAGACCAGTCTCATAAGATTTGAGCCAAGCCCTAGGTGTTCATACCCCCCGCCCCAAACTGTTGGGTCCGACGCCCGCCCCGCTTCCACAATCGCCGGACCCCACATCACAGGCCATGGGGTAAGGTGTTCATACGCACCTTTTCTAAATGTTGCTTGTAAGCTTTGGCATTCCATTTCTTCTGAAGGAGGTTGTTAACTGGCGGAAAGGCACCGGTTTGGCGTGGCATTTTCAGCATTTTCAGTGCAGCAGAGCTTGGAAACTTCAAGCAAGTAGTAACAAGTGTAGGCTCTGCTCTGTTACTGCCTTATCGTACAAATGTGATGACGCTTGACTTCACTTGTCGCTAGTCAACTTCGAACATGTCGATCGGAGCAGAGAAGTCCGGAAATGTCCAAGCATATCCGATTTCCAGCATACCCATAATGTGCTGTCCCTTCGAGGTAAAGAGTAAATAAATGCCTCTACAAATGATTTTGACAGTGGTGAATGGTGATCAGTGTTACACTGTTGTACCGTTATAAATTATTAAGCCGTCTCTCAATCTCGCGATCTCGCGTCTCTGTTGCCTCCTCCGAGTCCATTGACTGCATTAGTTCTAACTGATTGACCCCATATAATATGGGGCACCTTATCTCCCAAAACAACAATTTCTTGAATATATTCCATTTAAAAAAAATTAATGAAGAATGTTCAAGTTTGGGTTTTGGTGACCAAATTTTAAAACTAAATCACTGATAACCGATAAAAGAATAGGTATGATAGGATCAAAGGACTGGAGTCATCACGTACTGTACCCGTCATCCGCTGCGCTCCTCCCAAGGGGCGGACGATGAACCCCGCACTTCTGGGGGTTAGGTGTGCTTTTACTTTTCAAAAAATTACAAAAATGGTAATTTTAGGAGAGGCATGTTGTTCTGAAGAAGCCTTGCAGGTACTATCGAAAGAAATACGAAAAGTCGCTTCAAAAATTAGCTCAAGCATATCACGACACGGGAGGCTCTGAAAACTAAAATTAACCTTGGTACGTACAGCCGGGTGCAACACAGACTATTTGTCAGATTGCACGCCATACGTGTAAGGCTCTATGGTTACCCACGGGAAATGCACGGAAAATAAATAAACCACGATTTCATACGGAGGCTTTGGAGGGACTTTTTTTCAAGTCCAGATCATCAACAGTTGCTTTCAGCCTAGCGGTGTCATAAAATCGTCATGATCGATGGGATTATTCTGAAGTGTTGATTTCATACTGGCAGGTCTTCAGTGACTTGCTTTTCGAGAGCATTGCGAAATTTCCGTCATAAATATGGACACTTCTGTTTGGATATTTTCTCACTTAATCATTTTCCCACGAATTCTATTCACCATCGATCTCCATTGGAGATCAATGTGATTCACGCAAAATCGTCAGAGGAATTGAGGGCGCTACTTCCACTTGAGTCCCAGGCCCAGTTGGAAGCCTTAAATCCAGTTCATGCTACAGGCGAATGTAACAGCGAAGCGAATTTGACGCCACGAAAGATGTACGGCAAAATTTCGCTGGAGTTGATATGTGCTCAACTTTTGAGAACGCAAACATTTGATCTGACGTCACAGCAATTTTGCGTTTGTGTTTGCTTTCGCGTCAAGTATGATCTCCTGAGCTCAGGCCAATTTCATAGAGCTGCTTAAGCGCAGAATTTGCTTAAGCACGAAAAAAAACTTGTTTAATTTAACAAACAAAGGTTGCCAGCTCAAACTCTATGTGATTGTCATGCTAACCAAAAGACAGGTAAATACCACTCCAAAACATAAGAAGGCTGGTAGGCCTAACCTGAATTGTCAGGTAAGGTTTTTTCACGCTTTTAAAACAAATTTTTCGCTTAAGCAGCACTATATTCGAAATTGGCCCGAGCCTTCCATACGTACATGTATGGGGCAGTCCATAAAGTACGTAGCCGTACGTTGCACATCTACTGTAGTACGTCGCTTCCAAATTTTTAAATAACTTACCAAAGTAGTAACAGGTTTTTATATCGCTGTTTCTTTATTAAAAGCCCTATATAGAAAACGGCAGCTTAAAAAAAAGATTTATTTAAAATTTATTTAAAATTTATTCTACGTGGAAACTGTAATGGAGCCTCAGGAGGGTGGAAATAATAGGAAGAAATTAAAATAGTGTAGACAAGGCGACCAGCTGCATCCGAATCTGTTGTCCAGAGTTAGGTCTATGGCTTCGCTCCATTGGAAATACGTTGAGTCACCGACAAAATAGACTTAGCCGTGAGCCCCGGAAGCCTGTTTCGGACACGGCTTGCGATGCGGCTTAGTGTTTACGTACTGTACGAAATGCCGTGGGACTCGTCGTTGTTATTGGGCGCGGGAGGGACAGGAATAGAAAAATCCTGATTGAAAGTAAATACTAAGATTTCCATTTTCCAATGTGATCTAAGTAGAATTATTACACACTGCTACAAATACTGTTCACTCTGAAACTTCCCCTCTGAGAATGCAAATTACAGAGCTTTTTGAGGGGGCCGGCCCCCCACTATATTTTCGGGGAAGGGGGGGGGCGATGCCTCCCCCCGGTTCCTACGTCCATGTGTTGGGCGCTCGAAAAGTGAAAGACCGTTGCCCACAGGAGCAAAGGTTTCGATTGACTGCAGTCGCTGCATAGATTTTTTCCTCGTACAGCAGCAGATTCAGGATTATTTACTGGGCGGGGGTGTTATTTGGGGTTTCTACGTGCAGTTGTCGCCTTTAGTGAAGCCATTTAATCTCTTTATTTTGTCTTTAACCGTACACGCAAAATAAGACCCTTGAGGGGTTTTCATCCTTAGGCAACGAGTGGAGCCGGGGGTTGACCCCACCCCCCCTTATGTAGATGTAGAGAAGGCAAACTTGAGACATTAGGATAGACAATGAAGGTCATTCTGGACCCCTGATTTTCTAACCTCCTTTAGCAGATGAGTAACCGCCATGGTTCAAATGAGTGACACAACGCATCCCTCCCCTTTGCTCGTACACCCCGCCCCAACCCTCGGCTCAGTCGCAGACGAGACGTCCACTTCCTAAACTCCATGCTAATACCTAGCTGGTTCGCGGCAAAGAATAACACACACTAAAACCCCACAGCACGCTGTCGCTGGTAACACCATACGTACTTTGCGTGCTATACGATGGTGATGGTCCGAGCTAGCTAGCTGTGTCGAAGGACAGGCTCTTTCTTCTTCCGTATGAGAAGTTTGTTTCCATGACTCTAGGCTTCTCTGTTTCAAAACTGCTAATCGACTGCAAGCCTTTCCGTAAGTAACCAACGCTAGAAGATAATTCATCCCACAGAAATCACAGAAAACGGGAATACAGCAAGAAACGAGTCACATTGTACGAACGGGACCATTGTCGGATTGTGTTTGTGATCTCACGTACATGTACAGTACATGTACCCCGTACATGCCTACAGTCATATGACAGTATGTCGTGTGCTCATTTCTTGGTAAAGCCAAAGCTGAGCACATTAAAAATACCCATTCAATGTTCATGAGCAGCCTGCACGGTTGGCGCCACTGTTGTCCGGCTGCTTAAGATCTAAGTAAATTCGTTTATTTATAGTGTTTTTATGCTGTGTTACAATTTGTCTCATTTTTAGCCAATGTGAGACCAGTGCTGGGAAGGCTCTTAAATTTGTCAACTTTTTTTTCTGTTTTCTTTTTGAAGTAATCTTTCAGAGAAAAGTTTTTCATACATGTCATGCATTGTACATAAATAAGTTTGGATTCCATTGGATATGTCGGACTCTGCAAAGCAATAAAAAATTGATGTGAAGTCGGGATATTCTGACATTTTGGGGGATTTTTTGTACATGTATATTGTAGAGCAAACTGATTTTTTTGTACCCAGAAATGAGTGGATTTTGACTGAAAAGTTCAAAATTCATATTTTCCCAAAACCTGTGTTCTTATTCGTGCCACATTTTAATGAATTAAGTGCTGGTTTCACTGGAATTTCAAAAATTTTGAAATTGGAAATTAAATAGAGGAGTTAAGAGTGTGCGGAAAAAGAAACTTCAAGCACAGTTTCCTTTCTCAAGAAAATGAGTTCCCAAATGAACAGCGCCCTCACTCGTTTATGCATGTTGTTACCGGTGCTAAATTCTTCAGATATGTCAACATGTCAAATGCATTTTATTGGAATAATTTTGCACCTGGAATATACATGTAGTTTAGGGAACCCCAGGGACAGCAATAAGCCAATTTCCCGCTCCGTCGCCATGTTGATTTTAGCACCCCCGAATGAGTATAGTGAACAAAGCTAGAGGGGAACAAATTGTCTACAGCAAAAACAATTGCGAGCATTCCATTTGCCAAACATTACGCAACATTGTTGCCATGAATTTGTTCCCCTCTGTTAAATCTTTTGAGCATGCGCACATGAAATCTGAAAAAGGCTTATTAAAATGCCTCAGCATCAACAGCACAAGTGCCGCAATTTTAAAAGCTGGTTAAAAAGTTTGCCAACAGACTTCCATGATTACCAGTCAGCAGTGCAACAGAATGCATTAACACAGGTGATAAATTTACGTTGTTACTGCATTTTTCGAAAATTTTTAGTCAGTTGTGTCTTGGTGGGGGCAAAGTGTCTTGTTTTCCAGGAACAATTGTCCATTTTTTTCATCTTTGAAAAATCCTCTCCTGACAGCAAGGTGCTTTTAAAGGCACAGTTTCCGACGTGGCACTTTCAATTCCAGGGGAGTAATTGGGCAACGTTTCCCCAGAGGCAAGTCCCCCCCCTCGTGCTACATGTATTTAGTGTCAATAAGCATCAACACACAAGCAGTGTCAGCAAAGTGTCAGGAACTTGAAAATAGCCTCTCAATATTTAAAAGAGGTTTTATCATATTTAAGACTCTAACAACTGCCACTGAGTAAGAAATTAGTGAATTTGCTTCCACGTTCTCACAGGAAAACGAAAAGTTTTTGTGATGCATGGCACTGCCATCTTTTTTTTTCTCTGCTGTCCACGTAAAACAAGATGCCAGCTGGTCAGGCTGCACGAGCAGGCCTGACTTTGTCGCTCAAATTTCCACACTCAAATATCATTCTAGATAAATGTGATACATTGAATATGATATTTAGGAGTATATATTTATTGTAAATACAAAATTTTTGCATAAATACTTGTATGCTTGAATAACTTGTTGACGCTAAATAGCATGACGCGTTTCCATGCTCTTTCCACTGGCTACACCACTGTCATGAATTTGCTTTTCGTCAAAATGTGCAAAATGCACATGATTTTAAAAAGATACTAGGAACAGATGAGAGATTACATAACACATAACACATGTACCTTTCTTTGAATGCTTGCTGCAGTACATGTATGGTGCCCCGTTCTTTCCTTTCAAGTACACATGTAGTCGACAGATTGAAAGGTTGAGCGATGAAATTCCATTACTTTTTCACTGTCTTAATACAAATAATCATTTTGCAGTCATCAAACAGCATAATTGGAAATAGATGCCAGAACTGAAGTTCCCCCAAAACTTCATATAAACGAGTTTGCACTTTCTCCAGTAATGAACAAGACAAGCATAATAAGAAGTGTCGGATTTATGGGTTTGTATGACTTAAAAACAAACAAAAAACGATCCCCTTTTCAGTTGGCTCCTTTTACCACAGATGGGAGTGGCCCAATGCTACAGGAACCTGTTTGAAAAAAGTCATAACACAAAGCAGAATTTGGTATGAAGAAAACAGTGCCGTGGAGAGAAAGAAACCCTGCCAATATGCATGGCCTAATGTGAGGCTTGCACTTGAGGGACCAGTAACTCCATAATATCAAAATGAAACAAAGCAAAAGGTACGTGTACGAAGTTTTTTCCCCATAAAAAAAGGGTACTGTTTAATTCAGGCTCGAAGTCCGTATACTACTTGTATGAACTACAGTATTGGTATTTTTTTCTCTGAAAAGAAAGTCACATCAATTTTGAAAGAGAATAAAAATGCTCACTTAGAATAGAACATCTTTACATGCTCAAAGCTAATACAGTACTTGTTTGAGATTAGCAATTAACCTTATTTTAATATGATGGGAGTGTCCTCCAAAATCATGGAAGTTTATGTCAAAGTTCTTGTTTCTGAAAAACAACATTTGCAGCCAAATACTTTTTTTAGACTCTTTTGGGGCAAAACCACTGCGCAGTGCATGTATATTTCACATCTCATCATATGTTCAGTCTTGTGTCTGTAATTCATCTTGTTTAAAGCGAGTCACTCGAGGGCGCTATTCATGTTTCATGTCACTTGACCATACCATTTGGCATGCGTGTTGGTTTTTCAGAATACTTGTTTTCACACAATGTAACATTGGTCCATTACGTGCGTCTAGTTATTTCACTAACACAACCTTCAGAACTACACGTATAGCTAAATTTGTAATAATTCCCCATTCGGGAGAAGTGGAGACTGACAGCTGGAATTCTGCATAAATTGCTTAGTTAGCACCAACCTTCGATCTGAGACATCTTTAGACCCTGTGTACATGAATCGGTATGCTGCAGGAGCATCCCGTAATTGCATGAATTGTCCAAAGTCCTCCACTGTTCCAGGAAACCATTGTACATGTATCAGTACATGTGCATGTACACAGTACATATTGATATATGTTCCAGTCTTGTAGCTTTAAGTAGAAATAATAGCCAAAGATCCACAATCCTGTGTAATCTTGTAGTGGAATTTGAAAGGTCTGGGAGTATTTCTGTGCATCAAAATAAAATGAAGAACTTATTGTATAAAATTGTAGATATCATCCATTGCCTCTTGAGACTTTTCATTGCATATGGCCAATTTACTGTCAGAATTATGGTCTTGGTGTTGGAAAGCACCATAGAGCAAAGAACATAAACACCCAGATACGTTTACAGGTAAAGCAGAAAATAAACACACACATGTGCTTATAAGTGCTCTCATATACTGGTACTAGTACAGTTCACAATGAAAGTTAATTTTTGAAAATGTTACAAATAATGAGAAAATTACATGTACCGGTAAAGTGACCCATGAGTAAGAATTGCACAAAAGCTTTAGTACTTTCCCCAGCAGAGAGCTGACTAAAACTTGAGTTGTTTCCTCATTAAATTTAATTCATTAGTTTGTATCATCGCATTCCACATGATACCCGTCTTCTCTGTCGGTAGATACATGTATGTATGCATGCATGTACATGTAACTGTGCGTTTCCTTTTTAAACGCTACAAGGGAAAAATTCATCCTGCATTTCAAAGAGGGAAGGATTCCCCAGAGAACTGAAAAAGAATAAAAATTTTGTCAAAGGTTTAGGTCCTTGTATGGTAATTTGTGACCTTAACTTTGAGAGGCAATTGGTCAGGAATTCCCCAGATCTGCGGTATGTAAAATCTGTTCCAAGATGCCAGTGTCCAAATGGATAAAAGAACATGTACATGTATGTATACAGTGTACAGTATTTCGAAACAGATACAGTGATGTACACTGTACGAACAGACACTGACAATATAGCGATAACCATACACAATTATACCTACATCACACAGCCAAATTTACATACATTTTATGTGCAATATACAGGACTTCTGTGAGTTTAGTTTTGCAGTCACAATTCTACGTCTTTGTTTGTACATGTGAGTAAGCGTTACATTAAAGGAAGTTAATATTCCCTTGTACCTACTTATCTGTACATGTACATGTAGTTCCAAAACCGCCAGTTATTGTAAATATTTTGCTTAGGTTCACAGTCATGGTTGAGCTCTGAACATGTTCTGCACATTATGTATGGGTGACGTACATGTATGGGTGTGTGTGTGTGTGTGTGTCAGGCAAGGACATACCCTAATTTGTAAACTAGACCAAGGTTCCACAACCCTTCATAAAGGTCATGCACTCTCCCAATACACAGATATCTTTGTAAGTCTGTGACTCATTCCAAAGCCGCACACTGTGTCTGCTTTCCAAGTGATCTGTTTGGTTTGCTGTAATGAGTCCTGACATGAGTATCAATTTGAGTTATCAGAACGGTTTGAAACCCCTTGCACCCAGTAGCTCCTCTTCTGCAGTCCCCAAAAATCCAAAAGTGCAGGAGAATTTTGGGGGGCTCACAAAGTTTATATGTCTGGATGTCCAATATAAGTTGTTGGATTTAAAGCGAAGCAAGAATATGCTTCTGTACTGTGCAGGTTTGCACAACCGGGATAATTGAAAGGGGAGGGGGATTTCTTGCAGGGGAAAGAGGATATGAATAAGCCCTCCACAGACGTGCATGTATATTTGTGTACTGGCAGCACACAGAAAACTGTGATGAACCTGGTACATTTTCTTGAAATACCATCGCCAGCGTTTGTGGTTCCCAAGAGAATAACTTGTCTGATATTTTTGGGTGATAATCACCACAGCAAAGATGCACCTGAATGTTTTTCAGCCGTTGATCAGATTTTGTGCAAACAGGATCCCTGTCATTACATGCTAATTAAATATTTCCTTCTTTGGAATTTTTTTTCCTTCTCTCCCCCTCTCTCCTCCCCCCCCTTCCCTTCCTCCCCCACAGGCTGACAGACCAGCAGGCTACGATCGGCAACCATGAGTTGTCCTGCCACGACCAGCAAAGCCCGCAGCCACACGCCCACCACCAACCAGGACCTGGCGGGGCTGTTTGAGTGCCCGGTCTGCTTCGACTATGTCCTGCCGCCCATCCTGCAGTGTCAGAGCGGCCATCTTGTCTGCTCCAGCTGCAGGCCAAAACTGAATTGTTGCCCGACATGCCGAGGACCTCTTGGTGAGTAGACGAGATTTGATGAGGACAGTGTTCAAGTGTCAGGCATGTCAAAGATTTCATTACAGTTTCTGTCATTTTTTAAATTAAGTCTCAACTGTGTTTGAAAGAAAACTTGGGCCAGCATGCCTAATTTTTGTCACCTGTTTTTGTACACTGTATGCATGTACATAATCATGATTAAAATTGCAAATTTACCTTTTCCTTTGTAGTGTGTTTTGTATCAAAGTCATATCATATATGCATACCATTTGAATATGCTGTTGTGAACACTCTATTCTCAGTGGAAAATTGTGATAGGGCATTGCACTAACTGTGGTTTTGGAACAGTTGTCTATCTCAGAGGTACACTAAGCAAAAAACACCAGTACCCAGTTGAAAAATTCAAAATCTAGGCAAAGAAATAGTGATAGTTGGTACAGGTTTTTCTGCTACAGCATGTGTGCCCTTTTGTTAGTCATCAGATTGTTGACAGAGGTCCATGATAAACATGTAGGCCTTATGGCATAACGTCATGTCCACTTGGCTATTGTAAGAAATGTTCATGCCGTGTTACATGTACAAGCCTGTTGGCCCTGTACATGTACAGGGTTTCTGAAAGGGAAGTGTGTGAATTAGAGAGATTAATCACAAATAAACTCTTGATAAAAATAGAAAATTAATACGGGCACACGTCATTAACCCTAACTCCCTAGGGTGTGTGCAAAATCATATTAAAATTGGAGAATTTAGGACTGTTAGGGTTAATAGTAGTCATGTCACATGATGTACCAGTACGTGTTGTTTGTTTTTTCTGTCCAGTTATTCAGAAGCAGTTGGCAGCTTTCAGGTGAACATTTTATCACATAGTGGGATTGAGGGGTAATTGATTTTTAAAGCATAACGTATTATAGCTGTTAGAAAGGGTTGGTTCTTCAGGACCTGCAGGCGAAGTGCACATGTGGATGTTTTCTGACTCTTGGCAAATGTCTTCCAGCCCATCTGGATAGCTTTTGCTCTGAAAGATTCAACCAGCACCTCTCATTAGACTGCACTGGTAAATTCTGTCCGCTACTAAGATCGGTAGAAAACCCAACCAAAAGTAACACACTGCAGGTCGTGGTTACTGTCTAGAATAAATGACAGTTACAATCACCTTGTGGCAGATACTCCTATCTCATAATACAAAGCTGAAATTTCCGTGGATGAGAGTTCAATTACATTTACATTGTACATGTTATAGCGACCGGTAAAAGAAAATTGTAGCATCCATGGAAAACCTTTTGCATGTGTTTTGCGTGGACATCAGTCGTTTAAGGGATATAGAGAAAATGGGGCTCGACTGTCCTTAATCTGCTGGTATGTATATCAAATATGGCAACACCGGAGTGCATTTTGATAAATTCAGGTTGCAATTGATCAGTCCCATCAAGATCCTTTAAAAATCTACCAGGAGATTTTGAGGGATTTTGTAGGGTTGGGGAAGGCAGAGCCGAAAGGGAGAGTACAAAGAATGCACAGTACACAAATCACGTCCAATGATTCCAGCACAGGGTAAGATTTTGGAGTATTCAGGTAGGGAAGGGAGTCAGGGTTCAATCAGCATATCACAGGTACGAGATCCCATCTTGTATCCCGGCTTCCACAGGCAGCATACGTAACCTAGCCATGGAGAAAGTGGCACAGACAGTCATGTTCCCCTGCAAGTATTCGTCCTCGGGCTGCATGGCCACCATGTCATACACGGAGAAGCCCGACCACGAGGAGACATGCGAGTTCCGGCCTTACTCCTGCCCGTGCCCAGGTGCCTCGTGCAAGTGGCAAGGGTCGTTGGAGCGGGTCATGCCCCACCTCAACCACGCTCACAAGAGCATCACTACACTACAAGGTAAGTGCGAGTTGATCATAGGGCCCATTAGCAGTGGAAGCATACAGGATAAGTACGCAGCTCAGAAAAACTGGGAGGTTATAGTGCTGTATTGTTCAGTTATTTCAAAAACCTACATGTACAGAGGAACACCGCTATAATGAACATGCTGGGGTCCATGCTAACTGTTGGGTACAGAGGTCTTCGGTATAGTGAGATTTACTGCCGAACGTTTCGTTGCCATGTTGAATAGTGCCCTCTCTTGTCTAACTGCATCCTCATCTAAGTGCATCCTCTAAATGCAATGCAACGGCGGTGCGCATGCAGTTTTCTTCCTCACCCGATCATGCGAAATCGCAAACCCAGTGTCCATTCAATACTGTTGGCAGATTAACCGTGGGGAATGACAAGTGGCAACTGCATAATGTTCGGTAGGGTTTTGTGCACAAAATATTAGGAGCCAAGGACAATGTTCGGTACAGCCGAATGTTCGGTATAGTGGTGTTCGGTATAGCGGCGTTCCACTGTGTACACGAGTGCATTGATGTGACATGCACTTCACTTAAAGTGTGTGGGATAAAGTATTCATTCAGAATTAAAATACGACCACCCAGTTTTTCTGAGCCACATACGTATCCCATACAGAACCATTTCTAATGGGTCCTAGTGTCACTGTATTCAATCCTTTCATTCTCATGCTTAAAATAAAGAAATTATTTTCTTATATATATATGTACAATTTTTCAAGGTTGCCTGCCCATTTCAGAAGAACCTAAAAGTTTAACCATAGGTCATCTCTTCTTGCTCAGTTTAGAAATATCTGTTTGTCCATCATTTGATGTGGGATTAAGCATGGTTGGAGTCAACATGCAGTGGTGTAAATGTTTTGGGACTTTGGACTGTGCCTTGGCAAAATGCCTATTTGAGAACCAAAATGTTTCTAGTTGTCTCTGAAAGAGTGTCTTGGGTTTGTTTTCAGAAACCCCCCCCCAAAAAGTACAAAGTTTACTATTAAACATTTATATGCACATGTGTCGATGTAGAACCTTACATGTAGGCCTGTGTAAAAAAACATTTATCGAAATAAATGAGCCTGTACTCTATATAAAAGTGACAAAATAGCTTTCCCTAAGTATTTGCAAAGACAACCAGTTAAAACCATATAACCAACTATAACAAAATGTTGCATTCACAATTCTGACCAACAGCAATGCTGAGTTTTTCATTCATTCTTGAAGTGCAATCTAACTGACATCTGTTCAAAACTGACTTGTGGAATGTAAATAGTTTTCAGGTCAATTTAGTGTGATTCCTTAAACACATTCCATCTTTGCCTCATGAAGATATTGATGCAGTGCAAATTCACATGTTGTAGTATATATGCTGACAAACAAGTCCATCATTTTTCCGACGTGCATTTGGTGTATTGAACAACATGAAGCCAGGTGCCAGCAGTTGTCATTGCTGTTGTATCTCCACTGGGGTTTTGTAAGCCTAAGGTCATGCAATCTAGGTCAACAAAAAACTAAATTCTGTGACATGTGGAATATGAGTTATAAAAAATTCCAGGGCACAACGCTCTACCATGAACGTTACTTCAGTGTTTCTGTTTGTGCTGTGTGTTTTAGATGAAATTCTGTAACTATTCAGATGAAATTCCAGTTATTTTGTATAAATAGCTGTTTGTTTATTGTTAGCCATTGCCTTAGTACTCCACATAAAACACCGATTCACAAGAGGGCTTCCTGCTGTAGACCCTTTCCACCCACGTGACTAAATGTAAACAACACCACCACGCATGGACCACCTTGGCCACGGTGATCACATATATTCCTGTGGGCAGCCTCAACCACGTGCAAGCGAACGTGCGAATGCTGCATGCTTGTTTATCTTGAATAGGTAGATTACCATCACAACACTATGCACTCGTTACCATCACAACACATCATAGGTCTAGCACGGGAAAAAGGTCTACAATTTGTTTATGAGTAACAGTGCATTATTCAGATGGAGAAGTCTCAGAAGGCTTGCATCCTGCGCGACAATACTTGAAAATGAAGACCAGGAAAAGCTCTTCACTCATTCTGCATGTGTCTGTGGGATATGTTTACGTTAAAAGTGCAGATCATTCTTAACTCAGCATCAACAAGGCTGCTGGAACCTTTCAGTTCCATCATTTACCCGGGCATTCAGGTCCTTTTTCACCCTAGTCACAGTTTGCAAGGAACCTTCTTGTCTTTTACTAAACATCTAGTATTGTGCATTAACCCAGCAAGACATTCTTTGTGCTGTGTAATGGGACATACTGTACATGTACTCTACATGTACATGTACTCTACGTGCACTGTACATGTACTCTACATGTACTGTGCCTTACATTTTTCATCTGAATACAGTGTATATGTACCGGTACATGAATCCTTGGTGCTGAAGTTCATGTATAGCATGTACCTCAGTTGTCGCATGTGCTGCATGTAAAATGGTTTAGAGAGAGTTGTGGAAAATTTAATATTTGGCATACTCCCAACCTATAAAAATGAATGGAAAGTCACCCAAGCCACTTTTGAGTTAAAGGCCTTGAAAAGAATCTTGGCATTTTCTCAGTAGGAATATCAACGTATGTCTATTTTTCACCAAAATGCCAAACTGAAGGATACACTGTAAATCAAAACAAAGAACCCTGTTTGCTCTTTCTAATGCAAAAACCATGACAAATAACCTCAGAAAGGAGACCTTGAGACTTGTTACGTGGGGAGTGGTCACATGTACTGTAGGGTCCATTGATTAACTCGAAATAACTTGAATGCATGGACTTGAATGCTTTGAAGGTATCCCTGGCATTTTATATTTGCTGTTTGTTTTTTTCTCATTAAAATTGCCAACCATTCTACACATGCATGTGTGTTTATACATGGATATGTATAAGCAACCTTTCCAAATTCTTCACAGTTTGAAAAATGACCTTGATACAAAAATGTTCAACCCTGAATAAGTTTGAAGATCACATGGTGAATTTTCCTTCATTCCATTTGAATTGCTCCCAGGTGAAGACATAGTATTCCTTGCCACCGACATCAACCTTCCCGGGGCCGTAGACTGGGTCATGATGCAGAGCTGCTTCGGCAATCACTTCATGCTGGTCCTGGAGAAGCAGGAGAAGTTTGACGGCCTGCAGCAGTTCTTTGCCATTGTCCAGCTCATCGGCACCCGCAAGCAAGCTGAGAACTTTGCCTACAGGTATGATATCCACACGGAGTGCCCTGTCAGGACTTCACGATTGGCCACCCACCGCCCCCAATTGGCCCCCATTTTGGAACTGAATTGAGTGAATCACTCCCTTCATTGCTTGGCATAATTCTTCTTGTTTCTGTACTCTTTTAAACCACTTACTGTTTTACTAACGTGAAATTGCTACATACATGTAGGATCTATATTGTTGGCCCAGTGGATCATCACGGTGTACCTTCTTTTGCTGACAAAATTTCTAAAACTTTCTTCTACTATGCACATCCTCCAAAACACTTCAACATTTGCACGTGAAGTAAATAGCCTGTTAGAGTGCAAAAGAAAGAAATTTCACTGTATTGTCTTTGTAATTATAATACTCCATACATGGCACAAGATGTTCGAATTGGGATGAGAGCTGTGTGGCTTCTAAACATGGTCCCTGAATATTCTAAAATCTGAAAGTGAAATGATACTCGATGACGCATCTTAAAACCCCCTTCCCCCCACCCGGCAAAGGTCAACAGTGACCCTAACATTCAGTACATTTGGTTTCCATTTCTTTTGTCTGCCCAGACTTGAACTGAACGGCCACAGGAGGCGACTGTCTTGGGAAGCCACGCCCCGCTCCATCCACGAGGGTGTGGCAGCAGCCATCATGAACAGCGACTGTCTTGTCTTTGACTCGAGCATCGCTCAACTCTTTGCCGAGAATGGAAACCTTGGCATCAACGTGACCATTTCAATGTGCTGAGCAGTGCTGCCTCCCATAAAAACTTCAAAAACAATTGAAAACAGCATTGCAAATGAGTACGTTCAAGTGACAACTGGAAAGCCATAGCCAAGTGCCATTGAACCAGTTTTACTCGTTAAATGAACATGTTGTATCACGACGTCGTGAAGCTTGCATTCGTCGTGGTCCTCACACTTCAAATCTGCAAGCTCTTCCTGAAGGATCAGGTTTGAGATGATGGGATCCATAGAGTTGACTGATTGGAGTGTTCAGTGGAGGAAAATATGTGTATTCCAGAGGAACTTCCATCAAACTGACCTAAAGCCTTGCAGAAAAAAAACTGCTGTACATAAAAGCGTCCATAAGCGTTTTGTTACCAGTGCTTTGATGCATTGTGTGGTGCCAGATCTTATACCGCTTGCACATTGAGCATAGAGGAACGGCACTTGTTGTTGACTGTTAACCAGTGCAGAGCTTCAAGAGTGATATGTTTACTTGAGAGAGAACCCACAACATATGAATGAGATGGGCATATGAAAACAAAGCATTGGACATGCTGGAACACAGTTGAAAGGATTGGAAGGAGTACACTGTACGTTAAGGCATTGAATAAATGGAGGATTTAAGCACAAGGATGTGCATGGAAGAAGCTAACGAAAGGAGTCAAGACAGCAAGTGTCTGGGAACTGACAAAGCTTTGATTGCATCCCTCGGAGCACCGACTGCGAACCACATAAGGAGCAGTTACGATATTTGTGGTTCACCTATACAGGAAGTTTCACCTTTGCATGCGCATACACGTATCTTGTGAACAGTGCTGTCATCAAGAAGAAATTCCTTGGAGCTGGTTAGCAGAAGCTATTGCCAAGGAAGAAAAGTTGTTTTAATAGCAAAATTATTTGCTCAGCAGAAATCAGCCTGGCAGTCAATTTCACGAAACTTGGTGGAACTTCTTGCCCTGCGTAAGCGTTGCACAGTACACACACATTCACTCTCGTGAATAGTTGCCGAGCTGCGCAATGCTGTAATTAATTTTGTTGGGCAGGGATGATCATGGCATTTATGACAGCTGTTCCCCTTCATTATTACAACAGTTCTTAACTTAGCTCCACCCCTCATTTTGAAAATGTTTCCGTCTTGTTGGAATGGGGTAGAAAATCTCAAAGTCCTTTCACAGCCAAACTAGTTACCTCCAAACAACAAAGTTGTACATGTACATGTATGTTTATTGTACAAGCCTTGCTACGTTAACAATGATGCGCCATAAGTGAACATGATTCGTTCGTTAAATCATTCATCTCTGATTTTTTTGTCGTAACTTAGGGTACCTCAACCCCTTCGCAACGGGAACCGTTGACAGCCGCGGCT